CTTGTCTTTATCCTCAACCATGATGTCCACATTGGCCATATCTGAAAGTAGCTTCGTGAAATTACTTACATGCTCCCTAATGGAAACTCCCCTCTTCATCTTGAACTGATAAAACATCTTCTTCAAGTGAAGCCGATTCTCAATGCTCTTCGTCAGATACTTCTCATTGAGTGTTTCCTACATTCTCTTCGCTGACGTCTCGTTCATCATTTCATAAATAAGATCTAGCATCAAGCATGAACGAATAACTCCACAAGCCCTACTATTCATCTTTTTCCAAACCTTGTCCTTCATATCAGTGAGTTTCTCTTGTAACTCAAGAGTCTCCTCCAAATTCTGTGCATCCAAAGCATCCATCGCCTGGCACCTCTACAAACCGAAGTTGATCTTGTCATTGAACTTCGGAACATCAATCTTCGTGTTATTGATGCTCAGACTCTGTATCGCCTTCGTAAGAGGCGAACCTGATGTGCTTGCTTCTTTCATGTTGTCGATCTAACTCTTCAAATAGGAATCTTTCACTAAATCTTTCGAACAAGCCTCAAGCCAAACCTGAAGCTCTGATACCACTTGTTGTGCATGGCCGAAGCTTGAAACCACACGAACAAGAAAGAGATAAATCACAACCAATAATCCAAACACAATACCACAACAAAACAAATGAATTTTACGTGGTTTAGTAAGTTGTCTACGTCCACGGGGCAAGGAAGAGGGAGTTCTTACTATTAGAAGTTAAGAGAATACAAATAGGGTAACAAATCTCTAAATAAACCCTAAAACAAAGCCTCTAGATCTCTCACAAATCTCCCACAATTAGATGCAATAATCCCCTCTCAAAGACTGCTCAAAACGTCCTTACTTAACCCTAATTAATTAGGATTAGGCTTATATATCAACTCAGAAACGAACCGGGTCAAAACCTGCAGCCCAGAAAATAACCGCTACACGATCAACCATGACGGTCGACCGCACACCCTACGACAGAACACAAAAAACCTACAGGGTACTCACAGTCGACCATGGCGGTTGACCGAATCGATTCCCGAGACCAAAATCGATTACAGGGTCTCTACGGTCGACCGCCTTTAGCTCCAGAACGCATATGGACTTCGTGCACGTTTCCGGTCGACCGCCGCTGACTCGCAGTCGACCGACAAACATCATGGTAGTTTTTCCTGTGATTTTCTGAACTGTTCTTCGTCGTGTTCGCCATTTCTTCAGGCCCAACTCTTAGTAGGAACTGCAATAGTATTCCTCGCCATTATGTGAACATTTGCTCTTAGAGTTTGTTTGGCAAGTGGTTAGGGTGTCTTATAAGCTATTTTTTGGGCTTATAAACCACTTTTGACGTGTTTGGTAAATAGTTTATTTTGACTTATAAGCCATCAAAAAATAAGCTACAACACATTAGCTTATTTTTGGCTGAATTATAAGTAACAATGTTTGGGCAAGTAAGAGACATATATCACCTTCAGCTTCACAAAATTCCAAGCCATGACTTTTGTTCTAGATTATAAGCCATGTGCTTTTTGGTAATTTTTACTACAAGAATGGATTATATAACCTACCCAATTGCCAAAAACTCTACTATTAAAAAATAATTATAATCCACTAATTTTATCAAACACTTTGATATAATTCACATGGATTATAATCCAAAGTTGCCAACATGCTATAATAAGTGTCTTATATGTACCCTTATCATAACTTTTTTTCTTAATTAATCCTTAAATCATATTAATTGCTAGTTAGATAAAGTATGTAAATTATTATTTTCAAAGTCCTCCTCGTTCTATGTTAATACTCACGTGAATTCAATTTTCGAAGTCCTTCTCTTTCTATATTTTAGATTTGGGTATTTCTAACGGGTGCCCAAGGGCACACGTTAATATGGAAAAAATACACTATATTTAGATCATCCTATGAAATGCCATTATGATGGCTTAAACGCCATAAATGCCACCACCTTTTACTCATTCCCATTATAATTAAATGATGCAGTTAATTTATCTCTTAATCATTTTCAAGGTATAGAATTTCATCACGAGGACTTTAACGAAACTGAAAATACAATGCATTTTGTTGTGTCATAGAAATAAGCGTTGATCAATCTTCAACTTGCCGATACGTCTCAAGCAGACTGTACCCGAAGCCAACCTAGACAGGACAAGCAAGACGTCTCTTCTCGCCATACCGAGACAGACCAGGCCAAGACGGGAGTCCCTTTTCGCTAGGTCGAGATAGGCGTCCCTTCTCGCCTGACGGACTCATCGATCCCTTCTCGCCAAGCCGAGTCGAAAGGCCCTCATCCTCAAATCTACCGCCAACACCCAACTATCATCACATTAAATGCATGGTCAAAAGTCATCATTACTCTCGCCCCCATAGTCTTTATAACTCATCAGACCTAGTCAGCACCAAGCAGCTGCTGTCGCTTTGCACTAACCACTTGGATGATCCATCTTCGCCAACGGTCGAAACCTACCAGCTATCTGTCGAGTTAGCTGCTTGCATAGATTCGGCTCAAGTTACCTATCCGCCCTCCTGTTCTTCTATAAAAAGAAGCTATGCAACTCAATGTACCTCTCTAGTCTTTTCGCACAACTTTGAAACCTTCTCCATCATTTCACATTTTCCTGATCAAGTTCACAAACTGATTTGATCGCCGTAGGAACAATCGGAGAACCCAACCTTTTAGAAATAAATTTAGAAATAATTTAACTTAGTCAGAGAAGAGATTAAATTATAAAAAAAATAATTTTCACATTTCTTTTTTTTTGAAGTCCATGAGACGAAATTAGTTTTAAATTTAAATTTTATAAAAATGAAAAGAAAATGATTTTTTTTGAATCGTTTTAGGAAGAAAAGTGTTTAAAATTTGAAGGAAACTAACATAGGAAAGATGGATTTTTCTTTTTAATAGTTTAGTTTATTTAGATTTTTCTTAAAGTCCATGAGATGAAAATCTGAAGTTTGAAATTTATTATTTGAGAGTTAAATTAAATGATTGTATTTAGCCCTATTAGATATGGATAGAACATTGTGGCAATTATGGCATTTAAGCCTATCATATTGACATTTAACTCCTAATTTTTGAAAATTTCATAAAAATTCTGTTTACCAGTTTGCCGCATGTCATCTTAACCCTGTGTAACCCAAACTGTGTTTGGATGGGGGGTTAGAGGATGAAAGGGAAGATGAGATTTAATAAAACCTTTGTGTGAGAGTTTTTTTTTGAGAGTTTAAAAGATGGAAGTGTTGATGCTCGTAAACAAACAGTCGATGGGGGTTTCCCGCAGTCGGATGCAGTTTTGATCCTGGTGACGGTGGGGAAGAAGGAGAGGATGAATATTGAGTCCGACTCCTTCTCCGACTTTATGCCCGATCCTGAGCGCGCGAGGTGGACTGATAACCTGCACATACAAGAATTGCAGGAATATGGGGCTAGTTTCCCCCGTGGTACCTCCGACGATCAATTCAGTTGATGAAATTGGGGAGAGTTTGTTGAGAGGCCCCTGGGCCATTAAGGTCATTGCAGGGGGTTTTTCCTCTTGGAATTATTAAAATGCAAAAGGGGAGTAAAGCTAAGGTGACACAAGAAGTAGTCAGAGCTCTTTTTGCCCTTACATTCCTTACCTCCTTTTATAGCCCCCTTGCCTCTGGGAGTTGACCATCGGCTTTTGTTGACTATGCACAGGAGGCGGTCTGAAAAGGTGAACAGGCAGGCTGCTGAGTCATCTTTCTTCCTCCATGTGTCAGCAGACGACTGGGAGGGAAGTCACTCGGTGTCAGGGGAGAGAAGTCTTCTCAGTGCTCTGGGTTTGTCAGAGTAGACAGGGTGTAGGGTAGGTCGGCTGTGTGGCCGTCCTTTTTTCTCCAGGTGGCGATTGGGAATTGGAGGAAAAGTCATTTGTGTACAGAGAAGTATTATGACAATTCTTTGGGAAATGACTTGTGAGTGGAATAGGCGGCTTGTGCAGGAGATCCTTGTCAGAGCGTAGATCTTGATGGGACTAGTCAATGCTGTAGCTTCGAGTGACATTTGAAGTGGTCTTGGTCGGATCTTATCCCTTTAGTCGAGGCGGGTTGATCTGTGAGTCATCACTATGATTCGTCGACCGACAACCGAGTGAGTTTTGGGACGAGAGCGCCATCGAGACGTCCGCTCGGGGAGTCGTCTTAATTGCGGAGGACCGACTGGTCCTACGCTTCGAGTCGGTTATGACGACTCTTGGTCGAGAGAGGGCTCACCTGCTTGACTGGTCAATAGACTTGACCTCGGTCCAGGCTTCTGAGTTTCTTGAGCCGGTCAAGACCATGGCTTTTTGGGCCTTTATAGTCAATCTTTCGACGTTCTTATCTCTAGATGGTAAATTACCATAACAGGAAGAAAAAGTGAAATTTGGTGAGACGTTCATTCCCCCAAATCAGGTAGTAGATAGAGCAAAGAAAATAAGTGTAAATTATTTTACAAGGACAAAATTTTAAAACCGTCCTATATGAACATTTAATCCTAAAAGCAGACCCATTTACATAATATTTTTAAAAACCGACCAGGTTTCAGTTTTGGCGCTGAAACTAGTTCGGTTTTTGTGAAAAAAACTTCCGAAACTTAACTCCCGTGAAGTTTAGTAAAACTGCTAAACTTCACGAGAGTTCAACTCCCGTGAAGTTTCATAGTTAAAAAAACTTTTTTGAACTATGAAACTTGACAGGAGAACTCCCGTGAAGTTTCAGAAGTTTTTTCACAAAAACCGACCTGGTTTCAGCGCCAATGCTAAAACCAAGTTGGTTTTTAAAAATATTATGGAAATAGGTCTTTTTTTGGGATTAAATGTGGAAAGAGGTTATTTTTAAAAATTTATCCTTTACAAAATGAAGGTAAAATTTAACTTTACAAGATGAAGGTAGAATATTTATATAATTTTATATGTATTCAATTCACTCCCTTTTTTATTAGAACTCCCAAAAAAGTTCTTTCAAGTAATATTTTATCTTTTTCCTCTCATTCGCGGTATTTCCTTTCCATTTTCATCTCCTTCCCTTCCGTAGTAGACTCCAACAAATGAAAAGGAAGCCAGGCCGACCCCACCATTTTTGACTCGGAGGCGCGAAACTCCAACATGTCCTTCTCTGCTCGAAAGCCTCATCGTCTTTTGAGGGGAACCTCAGAAAGGAGTTCTGCAAATTCTTGAATTAAACTTGAGAATTCTCTCTCTTCTTTCTCTTACTGCGAACCGAAGATTCTAGGTATTCTCCACTTCATTTTTCTTTAAAAATCGTTGCGAAAATGTTTTCTTTAAAAATCGTTGCGAAAATGTTGCAAAATTTCAAGATCTTCAATCAGTTTGGTAAATTTATGATTTTTATATGATTTAGGTTTTTTTCCCGCTTTACTCACATATTTGTTTGCAGTTATTGAGCATTATCCTGAATGATTGCGTTTTTGGATGAAGATTAGGTTTCAAGGTTAAGTTAACTAAGTTTATAATTAGCTAATGTTAATAAAATTTAGGTTTAGATTTAAATCCAATCAAGACATTGAGGCGATAGACTAAATGCTTTGAATCAACCTTACCATGCCCATATACCTAGAAGTTCCATGAGATACTTTTCTGCTGACAATTTTTTTCCTCTTTTGGTAATTTTTTTCCTCTTTTGGTACCATAATATTCTTATTTGTGCAAAGTTTTCCATCAGAATATTAGATTAATATATAGGATTTTCTATTTACTTTATGAATGTTGAAATCTGATCTCATAATGCTTTCTTTATCTAGAATTGACAAATCTTGGAGAGTTTAATTTAGGCTACTCACATTCTGTATATCACATCTCTTGCCAATTTTTTCTTGGTCAATAATTTGGCGTCAAGTTGTACAATCATTGCTTTTTTGTATCTTCCTCAAAATCGCATTGTCGTACCCATTTTGAGGGGTAACTGCTCGGAAATGATTGGTTAGGACAGCCAACAAGGATGCCTATATGCAAGAGATTTCTTTATTTACACAACCATATGATAATAGGCTATATCAACAATAAAAGCAAATCCTTTCAGCAGCACATGAGAATAGTCTCAGTTTATTCGAATATGATTCAACTGCGATAGCCCATCATTATTTTCATACTTATTTTTACATTTTAAGACGTGTTGGCTGAAAGTCGAATGTCCTCTCATACTGATTTCATTTTATCACGGGGATGCAATTGTCTGGTTACATGCTTCTCCTGGTTTATCCTTCTCCAAGATCAGTGGTCATATCTGGTAGGAAGCTATAATTTCCCCCCTATATATTATTAATTGTCTCTTCGAGTTAATTAATGCTTTTCTGATGTTTTCTGGCAAACCAAATTTACACACTTGCGTGCTTGGACTACATCATTCCTCTTACATAAGTGGAATCTCCTAAAATATAAACTGAATGGGTATGTTTTATTTGAGAAATATATTGATGTATGAATCAATTTCATTACAAGGTTATATTTGATTCTAAGAAAGAATAAAAAATACAAATTAAGATTTTTCTTTTCTAACTGGATGTTTTTGGTACACTTTTCCCTAATTCGTTATTAAAATAAAGTTCAGAATATCTCAGAAAAGCATAGGATATTTTGCCGCATGTTTCTGGTTTTATTTCCCTCAGGCTTTCATGTGTGAACAGTCCCATTCACTGCATAAGGATTCTCTGATGTCTGAATAACATAAACATCTAAGTAAACATGTACATAGAAGGAATTATAAGTACGAAATTCTTTGCTTATGGCACAGGATGTGTATTCTTGACGCCTCTTGCCTGATAATCGTATTGCTGAATGCATCTTACTCTGATATTTGGCATGGAACAAGCATGCTGATATCTTTGGACATAGTTTTGATTGTTAAGTGCATTGCATGAGAAGAAGATAGCTTAAGAATAGCCAAGACAACTTACCAAGTACCAACACGTTGCAAGGCCCCTCGGTCTCACTCCAGCAAGTCAACCTGGGATGCGTGGAACTTTCTGTTTCTCCATGCAAATTGTGATGCATGCTTATTTATCCAACTAGGTACATTTTCTCACCTGACTTTAAACTTCATAATCTCCTTATTTCTTTTACATCTATTTTATGTGGATGCCCATTTATATAGGGATGTAAAAAAGATAAACTTTTAATTATATTCTTATTCTGACGTCTATGGTATCCAATTGGATACCATATTTTTACTTTAAGCATAAAGGAAAATCAACTGCCCCTATCTTTCATCATTAAGAAGTTAACAAAACAAAAGTTCTAACATAAGCTTACAGCTCACTTGCAATCAATGTTTTAAAAAGCGGAAGCGCAAGGCGAAGAGTAGACCATTTAATAAAGCAAGGCGTAAGCTTCAAAGCGTGAGGAGTAAGCCTCGTAACTTTAGGGATTTTAATTTTAAAATTTGTAAAAATCATGAACATGTAAGATATAGTGGTGTAATAATTTACAAATAGATATATTCATGTCTTGATTACTAATAAGAACTAAACATGTGAAGTATAAATACAAATCACATAAGCTACATGCATAATATATATCTTATTTATAGTCATATGGTCATATTGAAGATACATAAGGGCACTTTAATGTTAGTAAAAAGATCTTCTTACATCTTCCTATCTTGTCCAGAGTGCTTCTAAAAAGAGAAGCACTGTTATGAAGCATGAAGCACACACTTCAATAATGCTATAAGAGATGAGGCGTAAGCTTCAAGGGATAAATAGCTTCACTCTTGAGCTTTGAAGTGTTTGTCATTTGAGAAGTTTCGAAGCGAGTTTCCAAAAAGCTTTTTCAAACATTGATTTACACAATCCAACGTTTAAAGTCATTGTAAACCCGCATTTTTTGCCTTTCATGAAATCAAGCCTTGCGTAAATTAAATTATGAGGTACAGATCCATTCCTTCCAAGCTAGGTTGCACAGATATGGGTGCAGACGTGGACACAAACACGAACATGGGACACGACAATTTTATAAAAGGCAAGTGATGGGGACATCATATATGTATATACCTTAGATCAAATATTGAATTAAAATACCCATAATATTGTTGAATAAGAGAAAGGTTCTTACTTAGATATTATGTCCCTTCTGCAGTAAACCTTCCTATAAACTGAGTAATACCATGCATTTAACTTGTTGCTCGCACATATTTTCATCGCAGTGGAACTAGATTGCACCGGTAAGAATGCGGAATAACACGTGAAAGCATATATCGTAAAACTTATAAAGTCTAGGATGAGGATATCTCATGGATATGGCAGTAATAAAATTGTGTACAAGAAAGTTCTTGTTTTTTTTTTATATTTTTATCTACAACGCAAGTGGGTTAGTATGGCTACAATATCAAAAAGAAAATACAACTCAGTAATGAAGAAAAATTTCAAGAGCAATCGAAATTTGCAGCAAGAAAGTAGAGAAATTATATAAATGCACCAACTGGTTAAACTGAATTGTCAATCTACTATGAATGCATTAGATCTCTAGCTTCTTAGTCCAGGGTACATCCCTCGTACATTAATGTGTGGGATATATTATTAACTTTTTGAATATATCATAGGAATATCCATTCCTTAGCTGAGTATCCAAGTACCAAGTATGTAGTAATATGGGCACATCTCCTTTGGCGAAATACACATGCAAAATAAAACAAAATTCATCTTTTTTCTTAGTTGTATTTGTGGTGGGAGATGGGCTGATAGACTGTCTGTGTGTTTGTTGACACGGTGGTTAGTGGATGATGGGTATTTCTTTCTCCTTTTCTTTTTTCTGTTGGATGTTGTTTTTCTTTTTCCTGTATTTGTGTCCGTGCATATGTGTGTGCGTGTGCGTGCTGAGTGTTCACTAATACAAGTTTAAATATTTTTGTCTTTGGGTATACACATCTTTGATACGTCTGCAATACATTATGGACTATCTGTCAAATATCGAAATAACAAATACATTTACATATCAATTATTGCAATGTTCATGCAAAACAGAATTGGTGCTGCTCACTTTTTTCCTATTCTTGTGTTTGTGTGGTGCTGGTGACGAGGGTGCATGTTTGTTTGTTGGTGTGGTGGTTAGCATGTGTGCATGCCGGTTCTCTGGGATTGATTTCTTTTTTCCCCGTCCAGTTTATTCCTTTTTCCTTTGGGAGGAGGGGGGTTAGCATAAGTCATGAAATATAAGCAACACATAATGCATGATGCTTGTATTATAACTCACTATGCAGTTAAGAGTGATGAAATCTAAGCCTATCCATGATGCTCATAAAATGGATGCGTGTGAAGCATTCTTTTACTATCTATAAGAATTAAGAATCACGTTAAATCAAACTAAGAATTAAGGGTTAACAACAAAAGTTCAGTTTTGATTGCATGAAGTGCGATGAGTATTTTTCAAATCTTTAAGTAATGGTTTTGGTTTTTGGGTTCAAATAGCTATCGTTTTTGAGCTCGATATACCAAAGAAACTAGTTTAGGGTTATAAGTAATGGGAAAATCAGGTTTTGCTTTGAACCACACGTGTCCATGGCGTGTTTACTGTGAATCCGTGTCCGACCTGTATTCGACACAAATATGGCATCCATAGTGAAGTGTCCGGGTAACCTAGCTGTCAAGGCATGGCTTAAGGACTTGAACAATTTATACCTCAAAGAACAAACTTATATTTGTATTTTTATGGAGTCATTAGTTATGTTAATGAGATAATTTGATTGACTTTCAAGATGACATAACCAAACTCATCTGGATCTTAATTCTGAACTTACTAAAATGAAAACCTTTCTCAATATTTGTCATTTTTCTTGGAAAATCATTCACACCATGACCTACCAAATGTAAAAGAGAAGATCGAGTACCTCTCTCTTGAAATGCAATTGTTCGGTTGTTGTCGTTGCTCGGAACTAACAGAAATTTGAGCGTGCAATGTGATAATGGCAGGAAAGATGACCATAGAGCTGCATTTGAATCAATTGTCATGGTTTCATCTATTGTAAGCATATTTTGTCATCAATCTCTGACATACCATCTCCGCTCTGAGAATGAATAGATAAAAAGCACATTTCACTACTGTAGTAGATTGATTTGTCTACTCTTCATCATGGATGTCAGGTTGTGCCTCTCTCAAAGTTAGGTGAGCGAAACCTTAAGAACATGACAAACCTCTGATTATGATTTCCATCAGGATAATCATTGTTGCTATTAGTTGGCCCATCGTCCTTTGTTTTGCTGGCCCATTTGCTAAAAAGCCAGTGCCCCACAACTCTTTAGTCTCATCTCCCATCCCTGTAGGTCTGCTCCCACCTTTTCCATCATACCCTAGCTCATCTTTCTTGTCGGCTGCCCCCTTGATAAAATGACAAAGCGAGTTGAAAGAAAAAAGGGAAAAAGTGAGAGGAGTGACGGTGAAGAGGAACCCGAGCTTTGTGCTCCTCTGCTTTGTGCGATCCTCTCCCCTTCTGTGATATTTTCCCGTCCATCGCTTTGTGCGATCCCTTCACCCTTTGTGAGTGATTGGCGAGAAGAATTGTGGTGAGTTCCACTTGTGTCCTTAGTGATGAAAATCTGAGGAAACAGTGACTGAAGAGTCAGGCTTCTGAGCTCAACAGCGACCGATCTTAACAGTGGTATCAGAGACTCGTTGAGTCGTCGCCGTTCAAACCTCCACCGATCGCCGCTGGACCCCTGCCGAACTGCCGAGCGAGTAGGTAAGGTTGAAACCCTTTCCTAGGATTTCACTCAGGTAAGGGGACGAAAAACTATTCCTGTGGCTTCTTTGTTTGATCTCGTCTGCATCGCCCCTTTGTTTGATGCTATATCAATTTTTCCATTTCCACTGCGGTTAATCTCTGGTTTTATTTCGCTGCGTTTAATTGTTGAAATTAAAATTGGTTTGTGCTCGTGCGAAAGAACAAAGAGTTTGAACCCGAGCTTCGTGCTCATTGTTATTCTAATTTTGTTCGTGCTAGTTGCCTCGCACACCTTGAGCCTGGTAAAATTTGAAATTTTTTTAGCTATATTTGTATTTTATTTTTTTCTGAAATTTTTTTGTTATTGTTTGTGCTCGTGTGAAAGAACAAAGAGATTGAAACAAGAACTTTGTGTTCATCGTTCTTCTTATTTGTTCGTGCTAGTTGCTTCACATGTTTTCAAGCCGGATAATTATCGAAATCAGATTTGTTCGTACTAGTTACTGTTTGTTTTTCTGTGTGAAGAATGTCTGCTGCTAATCAATATGGTATGGTTCAATATGGTATGGTTCCGTTCAACGGAAAATCCTGATTTTAGCATTTGAAAACAAAAAATAAAATGTATTTTAATGCAACAGAAGTCATTTAGGGCTGTTGGTCAGACTTATTTGACTTCTAACACTGAAGAAAAAAGGGCTGAAATGAACAAAAATGCTTGTTCCATAATTTATTTGAACTTATCTGACTCTGTGCTTAGAAAAGTTAGAATTTTAGAATCTGCTAAAACCCTTTGGAATAAACTTGAAGAACTCTATACTAAAACCTCTTTGCCTAGTAAAATTTTTTTGCTTGAAATTTTTTTCAAATTCAGATTGGATATGTCTAAGGACATTGAGCAGAACCTAGATATTTTCACAAAACTTATTTCAGATATTAAGTTAACTGGCGATAAACATATATATGACTATACTCCTATTACCCTTCTAAATGCTATTCCTGACTCATATAGTGATGTGAAATCTGCTATTAAAATGATAGAGATGAGGTTATCCTTGACATTATGGTCAATGGTCTTAGAGTAAGGAATTAGGTTTAAAACATTCTGGGGAAAATAAAAATTCTGGTGAGGTTATGCATGTGAGGGGTAGGCCTCAGAATAGGTCTAATAATCAAAATAATGCTAGTAATGGTGAATCAAGTAGAAAAAAATTAAAAAATGGAAGGGGTAGATCTAAGTCTAGGTTTAAAGTTAAAAAATGCTATAATTGTCATGAAACTGGTCACTTTATTAAAGATTGTCCTAAGCCTAAGAAAAATCAGCAAAATAATCATGCTAATATGCCTGTTTGTGAGGGCA